ATTACAGCCATCCGATTTCTGAAATGATCGCCGACATACTATGGTTAATTACCCGATACAAGCGTACTCTTGTGAAACAAATTTGATTTTCTACCTCAATTGCAGTTTTACAATGAGGGCAATTATGACTATTATCATTAATCCAATTTTCAGACATTGTATTTTCCAACATCGTTTGAAGCTGTCTCTTGCCGTAATGCTTTTCCATTTCGGCCTTCTTCTCGTTGCTGGCTGCTTGATATTCGTTCAATAACCGTTGTTTTTCAGCTATCAACAAAATCAACACGATATATATTGACATTATATAAATTCTAACGAAATTTTTATTTAGAACTAAACGATATAAAAGTGAATAGCTTGTTATATAGAGTGGTGAAAGTGATAACGATGTAAGTCACTTTTACAAATTTATTGGCTTAAAGTCATTGATGTAATCTACTGTAAATCAAATATCTTGAAAAAAAAAAAAAAAAACTTTGTTTCACGAATTAAGTGACTTACACCGCGTTATAACTTTCACCCTTCCCAGCAAACGAGAATGGATTAAAATGGATTGGATGTCGTCTTGGACAATAAACATTTTGTTTATTCGAATGCATATTTTAAACAGCGAAAATTTGTTTTTTGGATTCAATTTGATGCAAGTGAACTGAAAAACTGCACTTCTTATCCAAAATTTTGAATTGAACAGTATTCACGTTGCACTGAAAAAGCTGATATTATTTTTAGATTGAAAGGCATACAGATGTACTCCGTGAAATTCTTACAAATGTATTCAGGATTGAAAAGGATTCATTTTAACATCCATGAATCTGAATCCATTTTAATTCATTTACGTTTGTTGGGGTAGAATAGAAATATTATCCATAGGTTTTAGATGCATACCTGAACTAATTTTGCAGGGTTCTATCCCGTGGTAAACCATCTTACAACGAATACAGAATGCATATTGACAAACGGGACATCTCGCCATGTTATCATCAGGATCGCGAGTAACTGGATACTGACAATGTCGTCTTGGACAATAAACTATATCCATCATAGTGTCTAACGTAGTACTTAACAATAAAGAATCGTACTTTGAGAATAACTCCGAACTTACTAAATCTTTTACCTGCGATAAAGCAAATTATATCACAAGTATGTAATACAATAAAATTAATAGAATACTCAAATGAATATGTAATATAAATACAATAGGCCTGTTTTTCTTACTGCACAGGGTGCAATAAGTTGAAGTGAAACAGATATAACTTAATTTCAGCTCATTGCACTATATGTGCATCAATTCAGCAAGCAAAAAGAACAAGCCTAATATAATTAACACAAAATGGCACAAAATAATTACCTGGCCGGGCGTAGCCTCAAACTTACACTTCTCTTCAGGACAACAAATATTCTTTACATTTCCATCTTTAATCTTTACTTCAAAATAACCCCTAATGCAATCTTTACAAAAAGTGTGAGCGCATGGCAGAAACTGTGTGCAATGCTCTCCTGATTTGTCGGTGAAGCAAATATTACACGTATAAAAATTCTTTTTGAATTCAATTTGCTTTCGTTTCTCGTTATAATCAATCAACATCTGAATAGGGTTTCTACCGATCGGACAGTCTAGAATGGCTCTTTTGTCGATGACACTGGGTTTTTTGGACACACCACTTTCTCTGTTGGACACTTGGCTGTTAGATTGCTTGTTTAGCTCACTCACTTCCTTGTTTGTCTGTGAGCCTTGTAATTTTTCGACTGTTCTCTTGTAAGATGTATACATGCAATCCATATCTATACGGTCCTTAATCTTTAAAAAGCCAAGTGTTTTATCCTGGAGAAACTCCACCCACGTGAACAAGATCTCCTGCTTGCTGTTCTCCCATAATGTGTCAAGCTTTCTGCATAACTTGGACAATACTATTGGATACAACCAAGAGGAGCATAACATAAATGTAGGTGCCGATGTAGATGGATAATCCTCTGGCAGCGTAACGTGCAATGTCAAGGGTGGTAGATATGATATCTGTACTTCTTGTGCCAAGTCTGCCTCATGTCTCAGATCCTTGTATGACAAATGACATTTCGCTGACAGATTTACAAATATTTTAAAGGTGCATTCGAATCGACCGTTCTCCTCGTGATACGAGAATTCCTCTTCAGTGTAAATGCTTTCCAACGCGGTGACCTCGTCCTTTTGTTTCTCGTAGTCCATCGACTGAAAAACAAAGCCGATTTTATCAGACTCTGTAAATCATGCGTACATTTTCTAACGATGAGAAAAATCTCTTACTCACCAAATCTGGAAGCTCTGAGCGTGTTAAAACGTTAGGCCTCACGATTAATCGTGACGCACTTTGTGATCTGGCTATCAAAAACGGAGCATGTTGCGAGTTGACTAGTGAGGAGGAGGTTATGTGCTCCAGTTGAATTTCAGAGCAATTTTACGTTTGTTCCTCTTCTTCTTAGTTAATGCCTCCTTGGAGTAAACGGAGGCAATACGGCCAGATCACGTCTTATTATAGTATTGCAGAAATTTAGTAGGTATACAAATAGGCTTCAACTTATATCGGCGCAATGAGAGCAATGAGACGAAGACTTTCCACCATGGGTTAACACAGGCCGAAGCCGCGAGCCGAGCCGAGCCGCGAACCGAGCCGCGAATTATTAATTCATTTTTATGATATGATTCTTTTAGGATATCACTTACTTTTTAGAGTACAAATATATCACAAATATATATATATGTATAAAAAAAAAAATGATTTAAAAATATTATATAACGAAAGAGAGTGAATTACAGCGAAAGCGAGAGGGGTGGTGGGGATAGTTGGGAGGTGGAGAGGGCGAGAGGGTGCAGTGGGTTAAAGTTGGTATAGAGAAGGAGACGTTTTTTAATTTTTTTATTAAAATCATCACTTTTCGACTGCTTACGTATCTTCGCAGGACGATTTAAAATTTTTTTTGGCTCAAATTACTCGTGACAATGCTGCCTTTTTCAGGACATATAACGTTCGACTTTTTATATTTTAATAGTTATGCACCCCCGAAAAATGGACTTTGGTCTGCTGGTAGCGTTATTTCAGTTTTTGACCATGGCCCGCGGAGACACTATACCGCGTCACCTGATATAAATTCACACAAAATTATACATAAGCAACTATTCAAGCTAGACTGTTATAAGACTTCGTATTCGTATTAGTTTGATATTTATACTTTTCCATTTACTTTTTTTACACTTTGGAGAGGAAAAAGGTTGCTGTATAAATATCAAAGGAGAAGACCTTCGAGATATATATCGAGATTGATCGCGAATTCGCGAGATTATCGATACGCATATATATGGCGGCGTCCAGGAGGAAATCACAATTTTCAATATGTATTTAATCAGTACATGCATTATGTTACAGTGGCACTGTTGGCACATTGTTGACACGACAAAATTGACACGACGCCGGTTTTTCCGTTTATCACGGCCGCTTATCACCCTCGTGAGAGTCGAGTGACTCGCAAGTGCTCGCGAGACCGGTGTCGCGAACGCGTCCGTTATTCAACATCTCAACGATGAGTACCGAGAACGAAACGTTCAAGTCATCACTCCCGATATACGTCAACGCGGTGATGTCTTTGTGCGCGTTTGGTTTAACCATACACCTGATTCCGAGGATAAAATCTATGTTTGTCCAAGCTAACCTCTACGGTGTCGACATGAGCAAGAAGTGCAGTGGGAAAATGTGAGTAGAATATCTGAATGTAATGCCATTTCAGCCTCATCGAGTTGATCGATATATACATTTTTTTAATTTTAATATTGAAGCACATAATTTAATTCCTCATGGAATTGATCAGTTTGTCTTTCTAGAGATTCGTTTAAATATGAAACTTTTCGTTGATTTCATATGTTTTTCTATACATAGAACGATGCTTGACACACAAACAACTATATTTTTGCAGACCCGAGGCGATAGGTGTTGTCACTGGCTGCGTATTTCTTATAACAATGTTCTTATTTATTCCTGTACCATTTACTGATTGTCTATTTAGGAATGTAAACTTTCCACACAATGAGGTACAGTACAACAGATCAGTCAATCAGAAAAAGTGTAGCTAATTTCCTTTTTGATTCTAATTTTAGAAAATTAAATCAAGACTGCTTTTCTTTTCAGTTGTTGACACAAATGTTGTTTTATCTTAATAAATACCAAGGAGGATAGAACTACGTTTGTATTATCTCCTAAAAGGAAAGCAGCCTCCTAAGATTAGCCAATAACTTTGAAAGTGACTTACATTTAATCTAAAAATATAAGATATGATACTTAATATTATTCTATTTTTAAAATATATGTAGAGATTTGTAATCAATGTAAAGTGCAAGCTTTCTATTACAGTTTGTCGATTTTTTGGCTGCATTATTGTCCATATGTTGCATGCTACTCTTGGGCTTTGCCGATGATGTTTTGGATCTTCGTTGGCGGTATAAATTACTTCTGCCAACTATAGCATCTTTGCCATTACTGATGGTTTATTATGTCAATTTTAACTCCACGATAATCATTGTACCAAAGCCGTTAAGATCGTGGCTCGGTTTCTCATTGGATTTATGGATTGTTTACTATGTATATATGGGAATGTTGGCAGTATTTTGTACAAATGCTATAAATATATTAGCCGGAATAAATGGTTTGGAGGTCGGGCAAAGTTTAATCATCGCCACGAGTATTCTCATCTTTAACATTATCGAGTTATCTGGCAGTCAATGGAAGGCGCACCAGTTCTCAATATACTTTATGCTGCCTTATATAGCAACTTCCTTTGCATTATTCAAATTTAATTGGTAAGTTGTGTACTACAAAATATTTTTATTTTAAAATATTACTAATAATAACAATTATATCGTGATAATATATATATATATATGACATGAAAAAAGGAATCTCTATGGATAAGAGGAATTTCGAATCGCCAAGTTGTATGTATAAATCATTTAACATTTATATTTCATCAACGTAATATTTTAGTGTATAAATTTAATATAATATTATATTAGTGTACACTGAGTATTGAGTATGAGTTAATATCACAGTTGGGTGCGACCAGTACGTCAGTAGTAATCTAATTTAGCGTAAAAATTCTCTACCAACCAGTCGTACTTCCATGTGTTATTGAGAATCGTTTCTGGCGCAAAGTAGGAATCCCTGGATTTAGAGACTCTCAGAAGACTGGTTTTACCATCCAACCATAGTCCACTACCTATTAGGTCCTCTACAAACGGCACATCGATAGTTTTCTCGATATAAATCTCCTTAGATTGGACTTTATTGCGAAGACCAATAATAATATTTGCAGGCGCCTGACACAGATTACAGTACCACCCGCCGTAGTGATTCAAATCTCCTATGACTAATCCCAAAATATCTCTCTCGCTGGTGTCTCCGTCCAATTGTTGTCTCAATACAAGCGAATTGGATTGATAGGCATTGCGCATCAAACCGACAGTGTATGCGCCGAGGGTGATCGTTGTCTTGAGTGGATGCTGCCAAAAAAAGCCGTATATTGACCATCTTAATCTAAATCCGATGGGCTGAGGCCAACCGTCGTACACTTTGAGGAACATTAATGCCCTGGAGTTGAGTATTTGTTCCGGCTCCGTTGTCACGTAGATGTCGTCGTCCTTCAGATTCTGCACCACAGTCTTGATTTTATCCCAGATGTATCTCGATACTATCCGGGATGGTTTGCGGGACTTGGTCGCCACGTTAATGTACAGAATCTTCTTTTGCTCTCGCTGTAGCAGTCCTTTCGACAGTTTGTGCCGGAAATTATCCTCCACGTTATTGAAATCACAAATTATAAAAAGGTCCACCACGTTGTAGAGTTCCTCTACTATCACCTCAGCGATCGCAGAGTTGTAGTCGCTTATAAAAAAGGTGTGAATAACATGCCTGGCAGTTTTGCGACGTTTTAGGCTAACATTCTGCTTTGATGCCATGATTGCCCTCCACACGACTTCTGGTTGTCCGCAATCCAAACCATGCCATCCTTGATTGCAGATACATCTTTCCAGATGCTCGTTGCTTTTCATTTTACGCTGGTCCACTCCATATTTCCAGCATACACTATGATTGTATACTTCGAACAACCTAAACGTCTTGACATCTTTCAATGCTACCTCCCCATTGATTGTCTGGTAGATTGGTGATTTTTTACGATTGCCCTGATTTACGTGCAGTTCCTTCAATTAAAACAAAAAATTAGTTGTAGAGTATTTTGAATAAATTCGTCGGTTTATATGGTCAGTCAGAAATTCGCAGCACCTGCAATGCCTCAAACTTGACAAAACTGACAGATGCACGAGTCGTAGATACAGCTAACTCGGCCGGTGGAGTTGTGGCGACGTAGATCATAACAATCAGAACTTGCAAAACCAATAGAGTATACAGCAACGCCAGCTTCCCATCTAGACGGACCTGCATGGCACTGATCCCTGAGCTCAGATAGTTCAATTTCTCATCTTATGCTCCTGAAGAGAAATCCTACTAGCTGTTTGAGACATTTTCATTGAAATTACAGTCTCATAAGTATCATCTGAAAAACATAACTTAAATTTATATTTTTATCAATTTCGATTTTTTTGTTAAAGAGATCCACGACATTCTACACTCTGCATTTCAACACAAAACCTACTCTATAACTCGTTTTAGAATAAGATAAATTTATATTCTATTTATAATTTTGTGTACTGTACAGAGAACAATTGAATGCATATAAAATACATACGCGTTAAAGAAGAAATTTATTCTAAAATCGACGCAAATCGTCTCGAGTTGAACACGCGAAATTCGTTGACCTCATTTCTCGATACGACGTTTCTTAAATCTCCCACATACATACACATATATATATATATATATCTCTCTGATTTATCACTCATTCTTTTCAATCATGCGAGCTAAGCGGCATCATCACCGATCCGTTGCATTGCAGGGAACGATATATCGTCCGCCAACTGGATTCCGCGCGAGTAAACGGCCCGGCAGCCTCCGCCCCGCACGCGTGTCATTTTGCCCACACTATATTACATAATAAAGCGTCGCTCACAATGCGATTCGACGACGACGACGCCGCCTTCGATGATGATCTCACCAGATGACGGTATGGTGACGTCACTGCGGTGCAACGTGCCATTTAATTCGCTGTGCCTGTTGATCGCCGGATACGATGACGGTTTCGTCGACAATTACACGAAGATCGGCGATTATAAGATGATCGGCGACCGGCGACGCACCACACCGCGCATACTTCTAGTCTCGTCGATAGTCGCTGCTTGACTCTCGGGCTGACTGGCTGCAACGGGGAGGAAATGGGGGAGAAGGGCGCCCCCCGAGATCCAGGTGCTCCTTCGGTCTCCCTCCCCTCCCCCGGCTGGGTAACGACGCGTACCGCGACGACGTGAAAAACCACGCCCGAGCGCCGCAGCAGCGGACGATTCCGCCCGTCGACGAACACACTCTCGCCGATCGTGACTATTCGCAGAGCGCACGCGTCTTACGGCGACGTAAAACTGTATCTATGTGCCACCCCTTCGTCCCACATTGCAATGCATCCTGCGGACGAGGCAGACCCGCCCATAAGTCGGAAACTAGATCATTAATTCTAGAATTAACCAGCTAAGGAGAAGAAACGGCTCTCTCTCTCTCTCTCTCTCTCTCTCTTCACAACCAGAAACGATTCCCGAGCTCCACGTGTTTATAGTCATCATGGTAGCCCCCTCACAGTTACGGAACAATGGCGCTCAACTGGGTATTGTAATTTCTTTTTGGAGCAATACCTCTCACACATGCTAGCGATTTTCTATATCTATACGAGAATAATGTGTCTGCATAATAAATAAGTTAAAACACCTAAAAGAGATAATAAGGCACGACATGTATGGGGAAAGGAACGCTTGGCGATCTACCTTGTTATTTGTGTTCGCGTAAATCTATTCAAATGTATACATATAAATCTATGTATATGTTTAACAATAAATATACATATATTTAATTTGTAATATATATGAATTTATATGATTTTTATTAAACGTTATGTTGAAGTAAAGAAATAATAATGATGCTTTGTTCAAGGTATCCATCGCAGGTTTTCGTAGGCGATACATTTTGTTATCTGTCGGGAATGACTTTCGCCGTTGTCGGTATCATAGGCCGCTTCAGCAAAACGACTTTATTATTTTTCATTCCGCAAATAATTAATTTCCTATATAGCATACCGCAGCTGTTCCATCTTGTATCGTGTCCTAGGCATAGATTACCAAAGTGAGTTCCCGAAATAAAAAATAATTTATATTAAAAAATCCCATCCAAAAGTCTGCTCATAGTATATGATTTTATTCGCAGATACAATGAAAAGATGGACAAATTGGAGCATAGTAGAACTGTATTCTACAAATCAGACCTTAACACACTTGGTATGTGATAGTATAGTTTATCTTTAAAAAAAGAATGTATTGCTTAGAATTATATTTTATCTTACTAGGAAGGCTATCAATGTGGATATTTAAAAAATTTAAATTAATAAAGTGGGAAGAAGATTCAGAAGGTTTTGTGACTTGCAATAATCTAACTTTGATTAATTTTATATTGATCAAGACCGGTCCATTGAGAGAACCAAAACTTACATCAATTTTACTGACAGTTCAGGTAATTAAAAAAAATATATATCTAATAATTTAAAATATATAACATTAATATTTTTCAGATTGTCAGTAGTATGTTGGCATTTGTTATAAGATATCCTTTGGCTTCCATATTTTACGATGTTTAAGTAAACACAAGAATGTTGAAATATATTACAATTGTACAAAAGTCTTGAATTTATTATTACTAGCGTGTGATCATAATTCCTCTATTCTTTTATTATAGGATTACCAAAATTGCATTATAAGTTAAGTCATTTTTTTTATGATTTTAAATACTATAAATATAAATATTAATTTTATTAATATATTGTTTTGTATACAAAATAAAATATAAGAAATAATCATAGAATAGCTTCTGTACAAGTTTCCTATTATATAAACACAACTTGCTTAAAAACAATTGCATAAAAAGGTAATTTCTATAAAATTTTAATAATAGAGCATTTATAAAGTATTCTAAACAAAAGTAATATAGATAGATACTTCATTTGTTAAAAATTACAAGATTGATCATAAAATTACTTAAATGATTACACAACAAATTTTAATATTTGCACAAACACATGATCTTACAAAATAAAACTTGAGCTTGATTCTCTAAATAGTTATAAACTTCATTTGCTAACAAATATTTTAAAGCTTTGTTAATCTACAATAATTATATCACTAACTTTTTTTATATCATAGATCAAATAGATCCGATATATCAAAGTTAATTTTTTAAGTGTTATTATAAACTTAAAATGTGTTATTAAAACTGGTTCGATACAAAATAAAGCAATGCAATAATACGTATAGCAGTTGTTAGGATACCCTGTACATATATCGTGTTTAAGATGTGCTAACATAAAATTTTATTTAATAACAGTGGTTTTTTTATTTTTAATTTCTTCATAATTTAAAACATGGAATTTGGAACAAATCGAGACGACGAACGAATGACGTCCATACCTAATCGATTCTTTATATTAAGTTGTGCTTTCGCAGCATCTCTCAAGCTGTATATGTGTGTCAATTCCATGAATGTACGACATAATACTAAAGCCTTGTCAAATAATCTTATTGCTTCCTCTATATTTCCTCTAAAAGAAAACATGCATATTTTCATTCGAATGTCTTCAGATTCTCTAAGTGATACATAGTTGCATGCATCATTTTGAAAATTTCAACATACAATAATTATTAGAAACTATTACGTACCTTTGTACTTCGATACTTCCTAATGATTCATATGCAAGTTCGCATTTTTCATCCAATTCTAATGCTTTGTGTATGTATTCCACAGTTTTATCAACATTACCGTTCCATTGTAATTGCAGTAAGCCTCTGTGCACATAAACAGTTGCGTTCTCTGGGTCTTTCTCTAATGCTTTAGCATAATAAGTATCGGCCTTTTGAAATTGTTGAGTTTCGGACATCATCTATAATAATTGAAAATTTTACCAATCAGAATCAAAATGCATACAATATTTATCTTACTTACTCTTCTTTAATTCTAATTGTTTTTCTTAAGAAATATTATAAATAGTTGTACACATACCTGAGCATACGATATATAACAATATATACATTCAGGAGGATCTGGATACTTTTCCAAAGCTCTCTCAAAATCTTTCATAGCTATTTCGGCTAATACTACATCTCTATTGAACACTGCAAAACGATAATCCGTGTAACATTTTTGCGCGTATGCTATGCCAAAATTTGGATTGTATTCAACAGCCTTTTCAAAATCGCGTTTAGCTTCATCTATTTTACCCATGAGCAAATTTACCTGAAATGATGGACAGTAATATTGTTACATTATTTCATAATCCTGATTTTACATTAGTCATAAGTTGTTCACAAGCTTGTTAATTTTAATACTAACACTTCAGATTAGCTGTCACAACAAACTTGCGACTAATATAGGGTGATATATATATATATAATAAGAAAAATGTGCTGAATTTTAACATGTACAATACCTGTCCTCTATGGTGATAAATATCGCTGTGACTTGGATTCGTACTAATGGCTAATTCAAAGTCCTTGAAAGTCATATCTGGATTATCAAGTTGCATGTATAAGGCCGCTCTTTTTATCAGGGCGTTTATTCTCACATCATCAGATGCATCTTTGTTGTTCAGTATACTTTCAAAATCTTTGATTGCAGCATCATGCTCACCCAAAAGTAAATAAAATGTAGCTCGTAATAATAACACTTCTAATCTAGATGAAGATAACGTATCAAATTCGGGATTTTTAATGATTTCCGTGCACAGCAGTATTATATCGTCGTATTCCATATCATTTACCGCTTGCAATGGCTTTTTGAAAAATCTGATAATAAATATATTTTTTAAAAAGTTAACATTATAATTATCAGAAATAATCCTCTGCCTATACTTACTCTGGAATATTTTCTGGATGTTGAAGTCTAGAAAATACTGGATCCTTAGGAAAAGATATAATGTATGTTTTGATGAAATGCTTACTTGGCATTACAAATTTTTTGTTTGCCAAATTTTCTTGGGCATGTTGTTTCCCTGAAAATAATTTTTATTTTCAGTGATTGAAGTTCTCTATTCCTATTTCTGAATTCTACAAAAGTTTGAGCAGTATTTTATTTAATACCAAATACTTTTTAAATGTATATATATTATATATATTACAACTTGCCAAGCTTTTCCAAAACCTTATCTGCCATTGAGAGAGAAGTTTGATTAGAAAATCCTTCATAAATACACGCGGTAGTCACATCCTCTAATGCAGCTTCTAAATCCTCCATTTTCTCCAAAGCACGTGCCCGACGTAACAAAGCTTTGGCATATTTTGGATTTAGTTGTAACGCTTTTGTACAATCTGCTTTTACAGCACTATATTTTTTCTATAAATTATAATTACAATTGTATAAATAACAAAACTTGTTTAATGAATTGAAATAAAATGTTTACATGTTTATTGTTACTATCAACAATTTTATTACCAATTGCTCATAAGCAGCTGCTCTATTTTGATAAAAAGTTGCAAGGTCCTCCATGTTCTCCATTGGACAAATGTCAATTGCTTTATTATATCGAGCAATAGCTTCATCATATTTTCCCGTTTTGAACTCTACATTTCCTGCATTCTTATACTTTTGTGCCTTTTGTAAAGGAGTCTAGAACAAAAAGATTTGCTTGGATCAGTCACAAAAGTATTTTCCTCTCATTATAAGATTAAGTAGTTTTGTTAATTTAAAAGTATGTATATGTAAATATGTGTATATATATATATATATATTCTAAGCAGTCTCAATTGATCAAGAAAGTCCATTTATCATTTGCAAATACATATTACTATCTCATTACAAGAGTCAATAAAGCTTGCAGACAATACTATTTACTGA